ATGTTCCTGATCAGTGGACACAAACGCCTGACCACAGCTGTATACACATTGAAACAGATAACGGCCTGTAACTCTGTATTGTCCCATCTGTCCAGATCTACGCCCAGATCCCAGACACAGAGGTGAAATTCATTTCTCAGAATAAAGAGACAAGGGAAGAGGGTGACGAGGACAGTCAGCCAATCAGAGGAGTGTTTACCATCAGCCAGAGAGCCGCTGTGCTTCTGCAGGGAGGACAGGCTCTCATCACCTTTGAGGAGGAGAAAGGTAGACGTCATTTGACTTCAGTACTCTATATGGTTCATTCTTACTTATGTTAATGTTAATAAAACCAAAAATAAGGAGTCCTCATGGTTTTCCATGCTTTGCTATGTAAGATATTTATACAATGACAGTTTGCACTGTCACTTGGAAAAAGACACATACAAGACAGTTAAATGCTCAAGTGAAAAAACAGAATTTCACTTTCAGATATTAAATATGAAATTATGATTTCTTATTTTTAATATCACCCGAAAAAAGCAATTTAAATGAAGACAGACAGACGGGTTTTTTGGAGGTGTGGTCGTAAACTTTGGATCAGCTGTAAAACAGCCTGTTTCACTGAAGCGTTATTTTCAGTACGTTTCATGCTCAAGAAAATGTTTTGTCTCACTCCCATGGCGTCTTGTGGCATGCTGTAGCTCTAATTGGAACCTTGTGAAGATCCAACCATGCAAATTATAATTTTTATGCCATTTTCCAAGTGGTCTTAAACTTTGATTGGGACCGTATCTGAAACTGCCACACGAATGTTCATCTCTTTAGTTTAACGTGCATCATGTCAGCATAAACGGATCAGATCAAAAATCTCTGCAACAGCAGCTATAATAAAATCAAATACTTGAGAGACAAGAATAAAGAGACAATGGAAGACAGTCAGCCTATCATAGTGTGTCTATACTACACCTAGACAGATTATTCTGTGATCAACCTGCTTAGCCAAATGAACCCGATCATGACTCAGACCTTACAACATGGAGTTCTCAGTACAACTGCAAATGATACACATCTTTTTGTCATATTCTTGGTCTCCAGTGGCTCGCCAGATCCTGAAAATTGCCAAGTGCTCTGTGTCCTGTGAGAACAGCAGTTTGGACGTGAAGCCGAGAAGAATCACCATGGATCCTGCTGTGAAGTTTGAGGTAGATGCTGCAACAGTATCATCGGGTTTTTTATGCTTCCGTTAGAAAATGAAGCCTCATGGTTCACAACTAAAACGAAAAAGCAACTAGAGCCTTATTTTTTATGTTGACTGTGTCTCTAGTTTCCTGTCTA